TTGACGTAAATTAAATGAGATTGGTTCTAACGGGGACTAAAGTGACTTTTTTGAATTTTAATGGACTGGAGATACTTTTCCCAAATCTCTAGAATGAAAATGTTATTAAATAGTGTAAAGAAATTTAATTTAAAATCAGATAAATAAATTATCCTTTTTTGGTTTTCTACTATAAACTTAATAAGTACTGGGCTAGGGCGGGTGGTTTGGGCTAAGGGTGCGTTTGTTTTATTATTTAGAGTAGTATTTTTGAAATATTATTGTTAAATTGAGTTGAGTTATTATTACGAGGTAGGATTTGAAAATTAACAAAAGAAGAAACCCTTAGGTTTGTTAATTTAGCTAAACACCCCTAATAATCAAAAGTTTATAAATTGACAAAAACACCCTCACTCTCCCACAGTTGCTAGATTTCGGCCACCATCGTCAGAATCTAGCCGAAATCTTGTTTCATTGCGCACGACCGACCAGATTTGGCCGATCGTGAACTATGGCATTTTCCGGCCAAATCTGTGGTGGATTTAGCTGGAAAAGGCCAAATCTCTTGTTAGAAAAGGCCAAATCTACAGCCACATCTAGCTGTCAATGACGGCCAAAGATATGGTCATTGTTAACGGTCAACGACAGCCATATATTAGCCGTCATTGACGGCCAGATCTTTGGTCGTGGATCTAGCCTTTTCCGGATAGATTCCGACCAGATCCATAGTGGATCTAGCCAGAAAAGGCCAGATCAACATTGTACCGGCCAGATTCAGTCGGTAGTGCACCATTACACCAAATTGCGGTCAACTTTCGGCGGTGGTTACCAGAATCTGACAAATGTGGGTGGGTGAGTAGGGGTGTTTTTGTCAATTTATAAAAAAAATTTGTTAGGGGTGTTTAGTTAAATTAACAAATCTATGGGGGTTTAAAATAGTTGAATAGCATAGGATATGATTTTGAGAATAGGAAAACAAACATACATTTTTCAGAATAGGAATGAGTATTTTGAAAATAGCCAAACAAACACAGCCAAAACTTGACATTTTGGACTGTTCCCATTTTATCCAAGTCCAAAAGATTTATATTTCTGAATCAGTATTAGATCTTCATGGTGCCATCAACATATGACTTTCCTATACTCTTATCTAATCTTTGGAAAGAAAAAAAAAAGTGGTTTTTATATATTTTCCCATATTGACAAGGAATTTATTTTTAACAATTGAAAATACTATAATTTCAATTGATTTGTCAACTCTGTATAACTTAATTACTATAATAAATATATAATATCGCAATATTTGTTATAAGGGTGACAATATTCTTTTTAGAGTTTGTATCTTCCTATTTTAGTCTTAAATAAAATAAATAGCTTCACCAGCACCATCCATCCGCCACCTCAATGCTGTTCATGAAGTGTTTTTGATGTCGCCTATTTAATTTTATGGTAGTGTTTATCCCCAAATATTCACCATTACTGCCATTGGATTTTTAGTTATCACCATCCTGCATGATGGGATAATCCAACAGAGAATGTCTCCTGATCACTAAGTGGGCTGTTGTGTTATCGGTGGCAAGAGAACTAACTAAAACACACTTCAACTATAAATTCTATATATAGAGGGAGCACAGCTGCAATGCTGCATTCCTAGCCTTGTTTTTCAGATTTCATAACCGAACCATGCAATCAGTTATAATCTCCTGCAATCATTTATGTATTATGCGTTTCTATAAATTAGAATCAAAATGTAATCTACATATCTGTATCTATTTATTAATTATATGCTTTAAATCTCATGTCTCTAATCCGATCCCTCCCTTAATTTTTTTTACATGGCTGAGGGGTGTCCGGGCAACTGCTGTTGATTGTCGATGCTTTTTCCTCATCAGGATGGCAACCAACAATTCGACAACCGCGGCATGCCCTGCACCAATGAAAGCTACATCAAATGGATCCTTCCAAGGTGAAAATCCACTTGATTTCGCTCTTCCCTTGGTCATCCTTCAGATGTGTTTAGTTGTTACTTTCACAAGGTCCCTTGCTTTCCTTCTTAAACCTCTGAGACAACCACGAGTCATAGCTGAGATCATTGTAAGTTTTGTGATTTGTTGTAAATTATTTTATTATATAATCAATCTGATTTTGAGTTGTATGATACGCATATGGGCTCAGGGTGGAATACTACTTGGACCGTCTGCATTAGGGAGAAGCGAGAAATTTCTGCACACAGTTTTCCCTAAAAAGAGCATGACTGTCCTTGACACCCTGGCCAATATAGGCCTCCTCTTCTTTTTGTTTCTTGTGGGTCTTGAGCTTGATATCGGAGCCATTCGCCGCACTGGTAGCAAATCCTTAGCAATAGCCCTTTCTGGGATCACTCTGCCTTTTGTACTTGGCATTGGTACGTCATTCCTTCTTCGTTCCACAATTTTACCTGGAGTCCATCAAGGCCCTCTCCTTGTTTTCATGGGTGTCTCCATGTCCATCACTGCTTTTCCAGTCTTGGCTCGTATTCTGGCCGAGCTAAAACTCCTCACAACAGATGTGGGTCGCATTGCAATGTCTGCAGCTGCCGTCAATGATGTTGCTGCCTGGATACTCCTCGCACTTGCTATTTCTCTTACTGGAGCCAACACTTCTCCTCTTATTTCTGTTTGGGTCCTCCTCTCTGGTGCTGCCTTTGTGGTTTTTTCCATTTTTGCAATAAAGCCACTACTAGCGTTGATGGCTAGGCGTTCTCCTGAAGGTGAGCCGGTTAAAGAGCTCTACATATGCATAACATTATCAGTAGTGTTAGCCGCAAGTTTTGCCACTGACACCATAGGCATACATGCACTTTTTGGGGCTTTTGTGATGGGAATAATCATTCCCAAGGATGGCCCTTTCGCAGGGGTTTTGATAGAAAAGATTGAAGATCTAGTTTCGGCACTTTTACTGCCGCTCTACTTCGCATCCAGTGGGCTGAAGACGGATGTTACAACAATGAACGGAGCTCTTTCTTGGGGCTTGCTATTACTTGTTATATGCACTGCATGCTTTGGGAAGATAGTTGGGACAGTGTTTGTAGCTTTTCTATATAAAGTTCCTTTCAGGGAAGCCGTGGCACTTGGATTCCTTATGAATACTAAAGGTTTGGTGGAGCTGATCGTACTCAATATTGGCAAGGACCGCAAGGTATCTTATTTGGATCATTGCGATTTTAATTTCTTTCTTGATTCATTTTTTTATGACTTGTATTTGTCTTTTAAGTCTAAACCGATCAATCAGTTGGTAATACATCATGCTATGGTGTTGTTGTTGCAGGTGTTGAACGAGCAGGCTTTCACAATCCTAGTTCTGATGGCGTTGTTCACCACCTTCATCACCACTCCTATTGTGATGGCTGTTTATAAACCCGCCAGAAAGGGAGCCCCTTACAAGCAACGGACGGTTCAACGAAAAGACCGAGATACAGAGCTGAGAATCCTGGCTTGTTTCCATAGCACACGTAACATCCCTTCAATAATCAATCTCGTAGAATCATCCAGGGGTATACGGAAACGGGCGCGGCTCTGCCTATATGCCATGCACCTTATGGAACTCTCAGAGCGATCATCCGCCATTATGATGGTTCATAAAGCCCGCAACAATGGTCTCCCCTTTTGGGATAATAAACGTGATGATAAAGATTACATGGTCATCCCGTTTGAGGCCTATCAGCAACTAACCAGCGTGACGGTGCGCCCTATGACAGCCATCTCTGCATTTAATAGCATTCACGAAGACATTTGTACAAGCGCACACCGGAAGAATGCTGCATTAATTATATTGCCATTCCACAAGCACCAGCGGATAGATGGAGTGATGGAATCGTTGGGACACTCTTTCCGTCTGGTGAACCAGCGTGTCCTCCAACATGCCCCTTGCTCGGTGGGAATACTTGTGGACCGTGGTTTAGGAGGCACCACCCAAGTCTCAGCCAGTGAGGTATCTTTCACGGTGGTGGTGCCCTTTTTTGGGGGGCAGGATGACTGTGAGGCGCTTGCATACGGAATGAGGATGGCTGAGCACCCAGGAATCAAGCTCAACGTCATCAAGTTTTTGGCTTCACCAAGGAGCAATGATGAAATTAGCAAAAAGGGGAAGGTGTTTGAAGATGCTGATACCTTCTTCTCTGAGTTCAACAATTTTGGCAAGAACCAAAATGCCATCACATGTGATGAAAGAATAGTAGAAAGCAAGGAAGACATCATAATCACACTAAGATGTATGAGCAAATGCAATCTGTTTTTGGTGGGAAGAATGCCTCCAACTTCACCCTTGACGGACGACAGAAGTGACTTCCAGGAACTAGGGCCAGTGGGGTGCTTCTTAGCATCCTCCGATTTCTCTACCACTGCATCCGTTGTGGTGGTACAGCAGTACAACCCTGCAGCAAATCTTCACCCACTTGTGGAGGAGGAAGTGAATGCCAATGCATATGAGGTCCCAGATACACCTGTGGCTGCAGACGCGGTTTGAGAGAGCAGGACTAATTAACTTTGATTTATCTTATCCATGTACATACCGTTTAATTAACGGGGTGGATGGTCTAGATCTAGACCAATAAGACCCAGCGTGTATTTGATTTTAGGGTAAATTTTTATCTAGTCTGTCTTCGCAAATTAAATAATCGGACACATTTGTTTCTGTCTTTTTATAATCCGTCAAGTACACATTTCATTCGCCTGAAAATAATAATATAACGAATTTTATTAACCTTACCAAGGCATAAAATCAAACTTAATTATGCATAACAAACTCCACAACTAGAGTTGAAAAGGAAACTGTTTGGAAGGTGAAAGGCGAGAGAAAAATAATATTTTAGTGTTCCAAAGCATCATTTTGTTAAAGGTTTCGATGATTTTGAGGAGATAAAGAAAAGACAACAGGAGAATATGAATGTATCCGTTGGAGAATTCAAGAACAACTCTGTTTCATTGCATTATTAATAAACCTTTTATTGGCGACTTAATCTTAAGAAATTCAGAAGCAGCAACATGCGTGCTTCAGCTGTGATGCTTCTCCCTGTGATGGTGATGGTTTTCGGCTTGTGTAACCAGGTTGTTTCCCAGAAAGTGCATGCAAGTATCGAAAACAGATTAGACAATGGGAAAAACCTTACAGTACACTGTCAATCCAAAGACGACGATCTTGGGCAACAGAATGTTGCCGACGGAAGTGAATTTGGGTGGGACTTCGCTGTCAATGTAGTGGGAACCACATTATTTTACTGTGATATGGAATGGGACCAGTACCAGTACCATTTTGATGCGTATGCTTTCAACAGGGATTATGTTAGATGTGAGAACCAATGCTTATGGCTTGTTTCCGCTGAAGGTATGTATGGCTTAAACGGACGCACTGGATTTTGGGAATATATGTATCATTGGCCAAAGCCAAACTGATTAAACCACTTGGAATCATTCTTCAATCTCTTTACCACTTAACCTGCACCCTACATATGGATGTCTTGCAATAATTGTAACTCTTTGTCAGATACAATAACCAATTCTAGGCTCTAGCTTGAAAATTGTAAATGTGAAGACTAAAACGATGCCGTGTTACTTGAACCAATACGCTATCGTTTCAAGAATGAATCTGGACCATCAATCTTCATGAGATCCAATGGCAGAGTTCAGTCCATCCTGGTCAACGATATATAAGCAAATGTTTCTTCTGTTTTCAATAGGGTTTTTTCGATTGATACTATGTATTAGGTTTTGCTCTGCTAGGGTTCATCTTTCTGTTCTGAAATCTTGATTCTGTGTAACTTATTGAGTGATTGGGTTTATCATTATGATAGAGGGGTATTGTCTCTCTTAGGGTTGGGAATGTGAGTGTTAGTTTCCTAGGTTACTTGTTACCAAATAGGGTGATTTCGGGTTTTCTTGGATCGTTTGATCTTGTGTATGTAATCTGTAAACTGATTCATCAAATTAGTGCAATGAGCTTCGTCCGTTTCTGGAGCTCAACGTGGACGTAGCCTTCCCGTTCTTGGTGTAGTGTCTAATTAGGGCTTTCAGCTATACTGATCAAATCAATTAATGAGCTAACACAATCTTATCAATCAACATGCAATCAATTAAGAGATTAAGGAAAGCATGAAATAACAGAAAAGAAAATTGACACAGGGGATTTATAGTGGTTCGGCTAAGGTAGCCTACATCCACTCTTCAAGGCATACTATAGGGTATTTTATTACTCAAGGAAACCAAGATTACAGAGAGTATACAACCAAGGAAAACAAGAAAGAACACACCCGAATAATCCCTCTGAAAACTCTGCTCTCTTCAGCACATATTGATATGATTTTATACAGATCAGGACTCCATTGATCATCCTCCAGCTGTCTAGTATAATCTGCAATCGGTTGGAGTAGATGGGTACTAGAATCTTCTGTCAATAAGGAAAGTCTAGGGTAGAACAACAAAGGGACCAGAGAGAACGTGAGGTGAGTTGTGCATTCTGTTGCAACAGAATGGAATTCGGGTGCCAGATAAGGCACTTAAGTCTGATAGCTGAAACGATGCCATATTAGTTTAAATTAGAAGCTAACTTCTTTAACTAATGCTAACTCCACCGTGGCATAAACAAGCCACATCATCATCACAATTCTCCACCTTGGCTTGTGAATTGACACCCTAAGTGGCCTTGGCAAAGTTGAATTATGCTTGAACATGTAATAGGCTAATACAGAGCCTATGTTTATCTGCAGTTACTGGTTTAGTGTAACATCTACTGAAAACTGTACAATGCATGCATAATAACAATAGAAAATTGGGCCCAAAGTTTTCTTTTCATTACAATTCATGTGTCTTTTATACATAAAGAGTACTGTTTACAAAAATGTATTTTAAAAGACAAAACAGGGGAACAGTGTAGCTATTGCTCCTCGCTTGCCGACGCCCCTCCAACCGTATCAACACCTAGAACCTGCATCCACAAAGGAAAATAACGGGGTGAGCACAAATAATGCTCAGTAAGTAAAACCCTCTAACTGTCTGTCCCCGTGTGTGACTCTTAATCTAAATTAACAAATCTATGGGGTTTAAAATAGTTGAATAGCATAGGATATGATTTGAGAGAATAGGAAAACAAACATACATTTTCAGAATAGGAATGAGTATTTTGAAATAGCCAAACAAACACAGCCAAAATTTGACATTTGGACTGTTCCCATTTTATCCAAGTCCAAAAGATTATATTTCTGAATCAGTATTAGATCTTCATGGTGCCATCAACATATGACTTTCCTATACTCTTATCTAATCTTGGAAAGAAAAAAAAAAGTGGTTTTTATATATTTTCCCATATTGACAAGGAATTTATTTTTAACAATGAAAATACTATAATTCAATGATTTGTCAAATCTGTATAACTTAATTACTATAATAAATATATATATCGCAATATTTGTTATAAGTGTGACAATATTCTTTTTAGAGTTTGTATCTTCTATTTTAGTCTTAAATAAATAAATAGCTTCACCAGCACCATCCATCCGCCACCTCAATGCTGTTCATGAAGTGTTTTTGATGTCGCCTATTTAATTTTATGGTAGTGTTTATCCCCAAATATTCACCATTATTCTGCCATTGGATTTTTTAGTTATCAACATCCTGCATGATGGGATAATCCAACAGAGAATGTCTCCTGATCACTAAGTGGGGCTGTTTGTTATCGGTGGCAAGAGAACTAACTAAAACACACTTCACTATAAATTCTATATAGAGGGAGTACAGCTGCAATGCTGCATTCCTAGCCTTGTTTTTCAGATTTCATAACCGAACCATGCAATCAGTTATAATCTCCTGCAATCATTCATGTTTTAGCGTTTCTATAAATTAGAATCAAAATGTAATCTACATATCTGTATCTATTTATTAATATATGCTTTAAATCTCAGTCTCTAATCCGATCCCTCCCTTAATTTTTTTTACATGGCTGAGGGGTGTCGGGCAACTGCTGTTGATTGTCGATGCTTTTTCCTCATCAGGATGGCAACCAACAATTCGACAACCGCGGCATGCCCTGCCACAATGAAAGCTACATCAAATGGATCCTTCCAAGGTGAAAATCCACTGATTTGCTCTTCCCTTGGTCATCCTTCAGATATGTTAGTTGTTACTTTCACAAGGTCCCTTGCTTTCCTTCTTAAACCTCTGAGACAACCAGAGTCATAGCTGAGATCATTGTAAGTTTTGTGATTTGTTGTTAATTATTTATTATATAATCAATCTGATTTTGAGTTGTATGATACGCATATGGGCCCAGGGTGGAATACTACTTGGACCGTCTGCATTAGGGAGAAGCGAGAAATTTCTGCACGCAGTTTTCCCTAAAAAGAGCATGACTGTCTTGACACCCTGGCCAATATAGGCCTCCTCTTCTTTTGTTTCTTGTGGGTTTGAGCTTGATATCGGAGCCATTCGCCCGCACTGGTAGCAAATCCTAGCAATAGCCCTTTCTGGGATCACTCTCCCTTTTGTACTGGCATTGGTACGTCATTCCTTCTTCGTTCCACAATTTTACCGGAGTCCCTCAAGGCCCTCTCCTTGTTTTCAGGGTGTCTCCATGTCCATCACTGCTTTTCCAGTCTTGGCTCGTATTCTGGCCGAGCTAAAACTCCTCACAACAGATGTGGGTCGCATTGCAATGTCTGCAGCTGCCGTCAATGATGTTGCTGCCTGGATACTCCTCGCACTTGCTATTCTCTTACTGGAGCCAACAATTCTCCTATTATTTCTGTTTGGGTCCTCCTCTCTGGTGCTGCCTTTGTGGTTTTTTCCATTTTTGCAATAAAGCCACTACTAGCGTTGATGGCTAGGCGTTCTCCTGAAGGTGAGCCGGTTAAAGAGCTTTACATTGCATAACATTATCAGTAGTGTTAGCCGCAAGTTTTGCCACTGACACCATAGGCATACATGCACTTTTTGGGGCTTTTGTGATGGGAATAATCATTCCAAGGATGGCCCTTTCGCAGGGTTTTGATAGAAAAGATTGAAGATCTAGTTTCGGCACTTTTACTGCCGGTAATTCGCATCTAGTGGGCTGAAGACGGATGTTACAACAATGAACGGAGCTCTTTCTTGGGGCTTGCTATTACTTGTTATATGCACTGCATGCTTTGGGAAGATAGTTGGGACAGTGTTTGTAGCTTTCTATATAAAGTTCCTTTCAGGGAAGCGTGGCACTTGGATTCCTTATGAATACTAAAGGTTTGGTGGAGCTGATCGTACTCAATATTGGCAAGGACCGCAAGGTATCTTATGGATCATTGCGATTTTAATTTCTTTCTTGATTCATTTTTTATGACTTGATTTGTCTTTTAAGTCTAAACCGATCAATCAGTTGGTAATACATCATGCTATGGTGTTGTGTTGCAGGTGTGAACGAGCAGGCTTTCACAATCCTAGTTCTGATGGCGTTGTTCACCACCTTCATACCATCCTTATTGTGATGGCTGTTTATAAACCGCCAGAAAGGGAGCCCTTACAAGCAACGGACGGTTCAACGAAAAGACCGAGATACAGAGCTGAGAATCCTGGCTTGTTTCCATAGCACACGTAACATCCCTTCAAAATCAATCTCGTAGAATCATCCCGGGGTATACGGAAACGGGCGCGGCTCTGCCTATATGCCATGCACCTTATGGAACTCTCAGAGCGATCATCGCCATTATGATGGTTCATAAAGCCCGCAACAATGGTCTCCCTTTTGGGATAATAAACTGATGAAAAGATTACATGGTCATCCCATTTGAGGCCTATCAGCAACTAACCAGCGTGACGGTGCGCCCTATGACAGCCATCTCTGCATTTAATAGCATTCACGAAGACATTTGTACAAGCGCACACCGGAAGAATGCGCATTAATTATATTGCCATTCCACAAGCACCAGCGGATAGATGGAGTGATGGAATCGTTGGGACACTCTTTCCGTCTGGTGAACCAGCGTGTCCTCCAACATGCCCCTTGCTCGGTGGGAATACTTGTGGACCGTGGTTTAGGAGGCACCACACCAAGTCTCAGCCAGTGAGGTATCTTTCACGGTGGTGGGTGCCCTTTTTTGGGGGGCAGGATGATGTGAGGCGCTTGCATACGGAATGAGGATGGCTGAGCACCCAGGAGATCAAGCTCAACCATCAAGTTTTTGGCTTCACCAAGGAGCAATGATGAAATTAGCAAAAAGGGGAAGGTGTTTGGAAGATGCTGATACCTTCTTCTCTGAGTTCAACAATTTGGCAAGAACCAAAATGCCATCACATGTGATGAAAGAATAGTAGAAAGCAAGGAAGACATCATAATCACACTAAGATGTATGAGCAAATGCAATCTGTTTTTGGTGGGAAGAATGCCTCCCAACTTCACCCTTGACGGACGACAGAAGTGACTTCCAGGAACTAGGGCCAGTGGGGTGCTTCTTAGCATCCTCCGATTTCTTCTACACACTGCATCCGTTGTGGTGTACAGCAGTACAACCCTGCAGCAAATCTTCACCCACTTGTGGAGGAGGAAGTGAATGCCAATGCATATGAGGTCCCAGATACACCTGTGGCTGCAGACGCGGTTTGAGAGAGCAGGACTAATTAACTTTGTTAATTCTCTCCATGACAACCTTCGTCACGGTTCTACCATTCTAAGGACATATATCAATACATATTGCAATAATAATGATTTACGCGATATAGAATAAAATGCCTTTTATTGATTAATGAACATTATTACAAAGAGTCAAATCGACAATAATTGATTGGCTCTAGGGCATCTACGCTAACACTTCTCCTATACCCGAGAGTGATGAATCCTTTGTTGATCCAGCATAGGCTTGATACACTTCTCAATGCAGCCAATCACTATCGTATTGATGGCTCTGAATAGAACTACGTTAGGCTGGTGTCAAACTACACCAATCGGTGCACAAGGCACTTCGGTGATCTCAAGTCTAAGGATCACATGCACCACCATTCGTTAGAAGATTTATTCCATAGACACTAGGGTTACCATCTATATGGAATCCTCTAGTGGGTCTGTCCAGTGAACTTGCCTATAGCAAGCACCCATGTGTCACACTAGGTTGCCGGCAAACAACCTTGACAAGTGAGATCAGTCACTGTCTTTCGACAAGGTCGTTCAACACTATGATAGTCTTACTGTATTATCTGTGTCCTTGGTCAGAATAATACTAGGGCTATGAACATTTCTAGAATGGCCACCATATGTGATCATAGGGTTCTCACTATCAAGATTTGAAACACTTGATACCCTCATCACAGTTCTACCATCCTAAGGACATATATCAATATACGCAATTATGATTCACATGATATAGAAGAAAATTGCCTTTTATTGAT